CGGCGGTGCAGAGGAAGGTAAGCTGGCCAAGGGGGGTGGGGGGGGGGGGGGGGGGGGGCAAGGAAAGAGGGGGAGGAGAGACCCGTTAGGACCGAGCACGCGCCATGGCCGGGGAAAGGGGGCGACAGAGGGGGCACCGACGCCCGTCGGGACGTACCTCCAGCGCGCGGAAGAACGGCAACTCAAGCAGACCGGTGACCGGCATGGCGGGGGAGAAGGTCCGTCGGTCGGGGGCCGCGGTCACCGGCGGCCCCCGGAACACCGGCTGCCGGTACGGATCAACCGGCACAATGTCCCCGATGTTGGTCGTCATCGCCAGGACAAAGCCCAGAACCGGCAGCGTGGCCACCGTGGCCGCCTGGGTGAAGAGCGCCCGCACGAAGCTCGGCGCGTTGCTGTCCTTCACGGCTCGCGGGTTGACGGCCGGCAGCCGGGGCACCTTCGGCGACAGGAGGACGTGCTCGGCCACCATGGCCGGCGGCCAGCCGACCGGCGGCTGGAAGTGGAAGCACTCCGTCAGATTCAGACTCTCGGGGCTCAGCTGGGCGAAGGGGGTCCTCTGACTGACGCTGGCCGGCGGGGCGGCGCCCGGCTCGAGAGGGGCCTCGCCCCGGCGCCGGGCAAACTCCTGGGCCAGGCACTGGAGCAGGGGCGGGGCATGGATGCGCAGCAGTTGGCCCGTCAGCTGGTGCGTGTAGCCCGGCAGGACCACGCGCGCGTCCGAAAACAGATGCAGCTGCCCCATGACTCGGGTGACATTCCGCAGGAAGGGGGACGTCAGCCCGCGCACGGCCGGCGCCTGCTCCAGCAGGGCGCCCAGCCGGGCAGCCAGGGCATCCTTCGGGGCCAGGGCCGCCTCGGCCGCCGCCGCCGCCGGGTGGCGACGGAGGACACGCTGCCGGATGGCCTCCCCATATAGCGTCACCACATACAGCTCGGCCAGGATGAGGGCGAAGAAGCGCTGGAACTCCAGCGGCACCTGGATCGGATTGTCGTAGTTCAGCTCCTTGAGGATGGCCAGAGCCAGGCCGGCCGTGCCCTCCGACCACCCGGCCTCCGACCAGGCGGCCAGGACCTCCGGCAGCGAGCCATACAGGCCAATGGCCAGCGGCCGGGCCAGCGGCGCGGAGATCGGCGGGATGAGGGACAGATTCCGGAAGGGCAGGCCCCCCACGAAGGAAGTCACCTCCAGGGTGACCTCCGGGCCTGGAGGGCGCTCGGTCAGCAGGGACCCAGCCAGCTGGCAGATCAGCGGCACGCAGATGCCCGAGTGCTCGGTGGCCAGGATTTCCAGCAGCTTGCGGGCAGCCTGCGCGGTCGCGCGAAGCCGAACCCGACGGCCGGGCGCACGAGGTCGGGAAGCGGGTGGTCAGTTGTGATGCTAATGCAGCACGAGAGTCGCGGGAGAGGAAGCAAGGCGCGTGGCAGAAGTCACTTCCAAAGAGGGGCCCCCACCTCCCGACGCACACTGTCGAAGCCGGAGTTGCTGAAGCTCAGGGAGAAGAAGGTGCGCGTCGTCAGCCGCAGGAGGAGCAGGATGGCGCTCTGAACAACGTTGGCCTGGGGAACTGGCTGTAGCGGGAGGCTGTGCCATGCACGGGGGAGAGACGATGTCACACGGGGAGGTGGGGGAGGAGGTCAGAGCCACAAGCGGGGAGGGAGGTAGCTTCCCATGAGCGAGGAGAGGGCGAGAAGGTGGCGGTGGCGCGGCGCCGGAGAGCAGCAAGAGCCCGGGCGCACCCGGTGGTCGACCCAGTCAGCAAGAAGGAGAAAGCCGGCGAGCAGACCAGCGACGACAGGAGCTCCATGCGGCTGAGAATCGCCGCGTCGCGGCCGGTAGTCAGGAACCGCTGGAAGAAGGCGTGCACCGTGTTGGCCAGGGCCTCGTCGAAATCCGCCACCGGGCCACCGGCTTGAATGCAGTTGAAGACCATGGTGGTCATTTCGTTGATCGGACAATCAAGGAGCGCTGTGGAGGCGGCCCCAGACGAGGGGGGGGGGGGAATCCCGACGAGGGTCATCGGGGGATGGAGGTGCACGCGTGCGAACGAACGAACGAATGAGCGAGCGAGCGAGAGAGAGAGAGAGAGAGGGGGGGGGGGGGGAGACCAGGACTCAAGCACCCAACCCAACAGCAAGCCCAATGGGGGCCGGGCCAACGGGGGAGAGCCGAGGAAGCAGCGGAAGAGGGGGAAGCACAAGGGTGCATGCCGACGCACAGAAGATGGCCGTGAATAGCGAATAGACAATGGACTTGGCCAGGATGGTGCTCTCCCCGGAAGGGTAGACACACAGGGTGGACATCAGGTGCGGGGAGATGCCCCCCTCCGGGGTGAAGGCCAGCCGGATGGCCAGGCCGAAGAGCTCCGACAAGTCGACCGCCGCCAGGGGCAGGCCGGGCATGCGGCTCAGCGCGAAGAACACCTGCAACTGGTAGTCCTCCACCTCGACCGACAGGCGCTGCAGGGCCTGGTCCAGCAGATCGAAGGACCCGACCCCGGGCAGGTGGCGCTGGAAGCCCGGCAGCTGGCGCAACTCGTCCAGGAAGAACTTCGGCAGCAGCAGCATATGCCGAAGGAGGGCCAGCACGAGGCGCCGCGAGGGCAGCATGTACTGGACCTGGCCGGCCGAGTCGAACTCCCGGGCCATGTGCCGGCCGCGCAGAAATTCCACCCCCAGGAGCCGGCGCAGCCGAGCCCCACCGGCATCCAGGTGCGCCAAGTCCGGCAGGTCGGGCGGCGGCGAAAAGAGGCACACCGCCCGGTACAGCTCGTACCCGAGGCGCAGGAGCTGGCTGAAGTCGGTGAAGACCCTGTCGGCCGGGGCACCAGCCTCCAGCCGACCGACCGACTGCCGGGCCACATACCCGGCAAACTGGCGCAGCGGCAGCCGATCCAGGAGAGCAATGTAATCCTGCTCCTGGAGCACGGGAAACAATTGGACGCGCGTGCTGGCGCCAGTGCCCCCAGAGGTGGTGGTGGTGGTGCTGTTGTTGTTGCTGCTGCTGCTGCTGCTGCTGCTGCCGGTGTTGCTGCTGTTGCTGCTGGCGCCGCCGACGCCGAGGTCGCTGGGGCCGCCGACGCCGGTGCCGGCGCGCCCGGCCGGCGAGTCGGCCGCCTGGAGCCCCGGCGCCGCGAGGTTCACGGTGGCCGACAGCCCGGACAGGGTCACCCGCGAATGGACCACCAGGTCCACCATGGGGCTGGTGTCGGGTGAGCCCGGGGCCGCGCCCGGGGCCCCGCCGGCCGGCCCATCGGCCTTGGCCTGACTGTCATCGAAGAGGGCCCCATCCTCCGGGAAGTAGTCATCCTCCGAGAAGACCACCCAGGAGGAGGCGTCCGTCTCGGTGGAGGGAGGGTCCATCCCGAGGCCGCGGCCGACCACATGCTTGAGCCGGTCCAGCGCGTCGGGCAGCGACGCCGGCATGGCGGCCATCGGCAGGCCGATGTTGTACCAACCGGTCCCAGCAACTCCGGGCGCTTGGTCGGCCCCGTTCGGGGGGATATCCCCGCCGCCCAGGCTCAGGTCCACCGGAGACCTGGGAGCCCGGGACCCGGGGGTCACCAGGTCATCCGGGTCCTGCGTCAGGAAAGGCGCCAGCTGGAGGCCCTCCTCGGGTGGGGCCGACAGCGAGGCCGAGGGCCGGCTTCCCGCATACACGGCCCCCAGCTGGAGGTCCTTCTCCGGGAATTTGAAGGTCTCCTTCCAGTCACTGACAACCATCGTCCGCTGGTCGTGGAAGGCATCGCGCGAGTGGGCCGCCGGGTCGAAGATGATCCGGATGGCGGCCACGAGGAACTGCGTGGCACGGGGGGTCCATTGCTGGGGGGGGGGGGGGTGGCAGGAGAGGATTAGCCATGGGCCTCGGCCGGAGGCCGCCAAGGGAGGTGTCCGGCGAAACAG